TGCTGCTGCTCGGAGGGAGCTGGTCCCGGCCACAAGCGCTGAACCCATGCATCGAAAGTACCATCAGTTATGGTATGTGGTGAGGCGCCGACACTGAAACAAAGCTTGCCGAAGCTGGCTATGCCAGCCTCCTTCAGCACATCCAGGCTCGCCTCCGAGAGCCCCAGCCGTTTACACCTCTCAGTGAATTCAGCTGCGCTTTCAAGGGCAGAGGACGTCATGTTGCTCTCGCACGAGACACTACGAACAAGCAAAGTTATGTCAAACTTGTTTGCTGTGTGCCCTTGCATGGATGACACTGTGCTACCCTTCAGCCGACCTTGAAAAGAAACTTCGGCAAACGAAGGCACAGCTTCAAACTAGGGACTTGAATCGGCTGGCAACCACGACCCAACGAAGCATTCAGCAACAGGTCATGCCAGCAGCCCCCTCAGCAATCCCAGTGTGACTCTCTTTCTTTTAAAGCTCACGGTTCAAGTCTGGGTTCGCATTGTTTCGAGCCTCTAGGGCTCGGAAGCATTGAATGCAACAAGCAGGGTCCTCTCCTAGCAGGCTGCCAGGTTTAAAAGGTTTGTAGTTGTCACTGAGAAAACGACCACACAACAAGGATGTGTTATCTCTCCTGACATGGGTGATGCCAGAGACTGCATGCACTGTACACTCAGCCCAAGGCACTCCTCGAAAAACTTCGCGCTCAGCAGGCTCAGCCGACGGCTCTAGCTCAGCCTCAAGTTCCACCGATGCACGGTCGGAGTCATCCGACTCCAGTTCGTCCTCAGCCCTGCTCGGCCCCTCTTTTGCAAGTGGCCCTTCATTGACCTGAGGGACAGCACGACCTTCACCTAGAGCCTGAGCCATTGCTGCTACACTTGCTGCCCCTGGCAAGTCCGGGCAAAAGTGCCCTTGCCTTATGCTGTCGAAGACTGCAAGAACTTTGGCGTACAGCTTTAGGTAATATTCACGGCTGTAGGTGAGAGGGGATTTGCTGCTTGGGTCAAGATGATGACCCAGGGCACGCTGCTCCGGCTCCGAGAATTGAATCAAGGAGCTTCGTCCACACCAAGTCAGAACAGTAGACTTCATGCTATGACTGCCATAACCCATGACCTCATCGGGATGGCAACCCATGGAGATCAAGGCCTCTCGAAGATAGTTGGTGGCCTCTGAAGCCCCCATCTCAAAATCTCCCCAGCAGCACTTCCGTTCACTCCAGGTGGGGAGGAAGGGGTAGGCAAGCCCTGAGCCTCACGTGCCTCCAGCCAGGCCTCTGCCCAGGAGATGTTGCTAATCCCTTTGCCCAAGGCAACATATGGAAGTATGCGGGTCCTAGCCTCGGCAGTGGTGGCTGTCTTGGAGCCGAGGGCTCCAGCCAGGACTAACACCACACCACTCTCAGCATCTGCTTCGACCTTGATGTCCTTGATGCGCTGACTGTCAGCCCAGCGGGCACAAGCGTGTGCACAGAAAACCAGCTGCCCTACCACACAAGCTCGGTGGTCCTTTGCCATAGTCACAAACTGCTCAAGCAGACTGAGGTGACTCACACTGAGGGGTGGTCTCTGGGATAATGGAGCTTTGGAGACGTGCATGATCCTAACCAACCCCAATACCCTTGAGCTAAGAACCACCTCAAGGTCAAGGCACTGGAACGCAGCCACACCATGCAAGAATCGAAGGGCCTCCACGCAATGCTGTCCTGACATTGATCCGGCCCCTGAACTCTGCAGATGAACGAAGTATGCAAACATGTCTTCCTCCTTGCACCGAAGGGGGGAGACGCACCTGTGGTGGATGACCCATCTGCCATAGCGATCCAAGGATCCGGCTCGCTTTATCAGGGTCCCTGAAGCACTCTTTGCAAAGGCACATGTGAAGGAATGCGTGTCATCGGCAGGCCTTTCAAGATGAAAACGTCGCAACCTAGCCTTCACCCCTGCCGAAGGAATTTGGGGCAGGTCGGAAGCAAAGGGCAGGTTCGTAGGGGGCAGATGGCAGGCCTCCTCTGACCCATAAGAGACCTGCAGTCTGCTGGCCAAGCTTTGCACAAGAGGATTCTTGGAAGGCTCAAAGATGAGCTCCCATCCACCCTGCTCCCAAGGCATGCGCGGTAAATCCTTGCATACTTTCTGAAACTTGGCCTCATGAGCTCTTTCGGCCCACCTTGCATCCTCGAAGATCCTCTTAGGAGCAGGCTGATCGTCAGGTTCACTAGCCAATTCATCAGCTTGGGCTTCGGCCTCAGCACCAGCATCCCAAGAGAAACTTTGCACAGGGTCTTCCCTGACAGGGTCATACCAAATGTCCTCCGGTTCTAAAGATCGCCCTCCAAAACTCGGAACATCGAAAGACCCTAAGGCGGAGTCACGGTCCTCATGCACAGAAGGGGGCTCATGCACCGAAGGGGGAGGACTGCCGTCCTGCAGTAGCCCCCAAGGATAACCTGAAGGCTCGCTTGGCTCATACTCGGCTGCATCCCTAGACGGCCACTCCCCCTCAGCAAATCCGTCTTGCTGGGATGCAACCTCATCGGCGTCCAACACTCCATCGCGGAACCCAGTGGGATCCGAGAAGCGCGAATCGTCCATCACCCTGCAGGCACCGGGGTGTCGGCAATGACACCGTCAGAGCTGGGAGTATCCACTGTTCCCTGCAGGTACCAATGCAAGTCGGCGGAAAGCCACCAGTGAGCACAACTTAAAGAATGCAAGTCAGCCGCAGTCAGGAAACCACCGAGAGTTTCGCAGATATTGCAATCCCCGAGCACATACACCAGTGGAGGCTCTGCAACAGGCTCAGGCTCGTGGCTCACTGAGGCAGTCGCCGCCGACATGGCAAAAGACGAAATTCTACACAAAAGTCTTGAGGTGATATGCCCACATGGAATTTCGTCCAACCAACGTGAGCATGAAAACATCACTTGACAAAGTGTGGCATGCCATGGATAAATTCACATCCTTGCACAAAGTGCTCACAAACATTTTAGCAACGCCCAAGGGGCACTAAAATGCACAAACGAGGAAAAACTTTTTATGGAGAAAGTGTCGTCGTGAGGCACGAAACTCCCTTCTTGCTCTTTACTGGTGGGCTGGCTGCTTTGCTCGGGGCTGGGTGGAGCTGCAGCCCGTGCAGAGCCCTGATCCTGCTCTGCATGCTGGGGGGGTTCCCCGCCCCTGACCGGTCTTGGGGGAGGTTGCCTCACCTGGGGGGAGGGTCCCCCTCTTTCGAGTCCGCCTGGCCACCGTCTGTGCCACGTCCTACGTCCTTGGGCTTTGGCTTGCCTGACGCTCTTCGGCGGCCTAGAGCGGTTGCGGAGGAAGCTACTCCGCGACACGCGCTTCGCTTCTGGGTTCGCCGCGTGTCGGCTTGCTGTGTGGCGTCTGTACTCTTCCTCTAGCTGCTTGTTTTGCCTCAGGGCAAAGGGTTGTGTCCTGCTTCCCCTGTAGGGAGAGGTGCAGAGTGGCTCCGGTGTCCGGCTTCATTTCTTGCTTTGTCGCCCTTTGACCTTTGGCTTCGGCTTGCCTGGAGGGGTCCGGCGCTTCATCTGTTGATCCGCCCGCCTGTCCAGTAGTCGGACAGGCTTTGGGGGTGGTAGGACCACTCGCCCCATCCATCATCGTCGGGTTCCCACTCCCAGTCCCACGGCATGGCTGAAAGAAGCGGGCTATGGGAGAGGTGCCCTCTTCCCACCTACCTGCCTTAGGGTGGGGCGGTGGAGGGCTCTGTGTAGGGTGACCTGTGGTGAGCTGGGCCCTAGGAGAGGTCCGGGGCTTAGTGCTGCTGTGTGCCCTACGCAGGCTCAGCTCGGGGCTTGCAGTGTTGGGCTTGAGGAGGGCTCTTGGGTTGCGGGCTGTGCTGTCGTGCGCTGCTACCCTGCCTACTCTGCTGTGAGCCCAAGTCCTGCGGCGCGGGGGCAGTGGCTGGGCTCGCTTTCGGGGGGTTTTTGAGGAAGCAAAGCAGCTTAGGCTGATCCTGACGCACAGCAGACTGTTCCTTCGCTCTAAACCTGTTTTTCGCCCGAGGGGGCACGACAGACGACGCTTCGGCGGAAAGCCAGTCTGGTCGGATCTCTCGGGGGAGGTATGGAGCTAACTGCCCTCCACCCCGTGCCTGCTTGCGAGAGGGGTTGCACATTTGTGCAACCCCTTGAGGCACCTTCTCGTCGGCCATGCAGAGCTGGATGTGGCACCAAATTGACCATTTCGTGGGAGGGGTGAACCCCAGCCTCCTCCGGAACTGCTTGGGGCCTCCCCAGACAGGGGTGGGACTCAATCCTGTCGAATTTGGCCGGCTTATGCACCTGAACAAACAAGGTGCAGCGCTTGCAGGAGGCCAGGAGATTATTCTTGTTTTCGGAGGTGACGTGCCACTCGTGGCCCCCTGCCCCCGTCGACACCATGGTCCGGATCCGCTCCCGCTTGTTCGGTCCAGGAGGGCGTTCTGAGGAGGTGAGGAGGACCTCAGCCTTTCTCTGAAGGTACTGGGACACCTCCCTGGTCAGGTCGTCCGCTTCTCCAGGGTCCCAAGGAGGAAGGGTCGAGAGGGCCTCCGGCAGCTGCATGGCAGGCCGTATCCGCTGACTCATTGACGGCCCGTCTCCAGCTGGAGCTGGGTCCGAACTCCACCTCGTGCTGCTGGGAACGGTGTGCGACCGGGTCCACGTCAACTCAGCCAAGGGTTCTTTGGCCAGGGCCAAGGTCGCACGGTTTTGCTCTGCGCGAGCGTAGCCTGGCAACTGCGAAGCACTCCCCCTCTGCAACGGTGCTCCCTGGGGGCAGGACCCCCGTCATCGAGCCGACCTGGAAAGGAGACCCTTCATGCCAGGTGAAAGCACAGATGGCCCATGCAATCACTCTACGCCGTGGGTCTGATGCACGAGGCCCCCCAACCCACCTGTCCCCAGTACACACACCATCGGCCCTTTCAGAGGGCGGGCCAAACTGGAAGCCAAGCCAGCCTGGTCACCGAGGCTGGCATCAGGCCATGGGCCCAGAGGCACTCAAAAGGGTACTTGGCCTGGAGTGGGCGGGGGCACCCTACCCCGCCACCACTTGCGCTCCATCGCCATGTGATGTGGGGTAAGGGGCACCCGGCACAGGGGGCAGGTACGGCCCTCTTGTACCTTGCGGCTTTTCATTGCTCCCTGCCACACCACACGTAGAGAAGCAGTCTTGGCTCGGGGCGCCTTGTGGAGGAGGGAGCGAGGCACAGCGGTGTCCACACCCTCCGACAAACTGGAGCACCCCGCCTGCCGGCTGATAGCACCCCACCGTTTGCATTCGCAGGCCTTGCTCAGGCAAGCCGTGATGGCGCCCCAGCGGGGCTGGCACAGGGGGTTGAGTGCAACAGTGGCGCCCTCGCCCTCTTCCCCCGCCAAGGTCGCCGGGCAAAGGTCTCTGGGAAAGAGCCATCTCTCAACAAAAGGGGCCTCGATCCCTAAATCCAACAAGTAGGCCACCATTGCCCCCAAAGGCCCACACACAACCTTCGAACGGTCCTGCCGCTCACCATGACTTTCGCGAGGGCCTTAAAGTGCTGGGTGACAATGCAGACGAGGGGATCTCCCATCTCAAGACCAATTTCAACACTGCCCGTGGTGACCTTACCGGCGATGGCAGCAGCCTGCATCCGGACGGACTTGAGCGTTTTGGGGCTCACCCCTTGGGCCTGGTGCCCCCAGTTCCCTGAGGCCAGGACGCTCATGGGGAAAACCCTGCTGGTGACTTTGGGGCACCGAACTTTGAGGCTGCGGAGTTTCCCAAGCCTAGCGCGGGCCTTAAGTCGGCGGGCGGCGGAGAGGTTAGTGCACCTCCTTCTTCCCCCTGCAAGCTCCACGCCAAGGTCCTTGGCAATTTTCTGGATGGGGGGGTCACCCTCACCCAGTTTTTTGCGAAGGGCCTTCTCTGCCTGAGGGCTGCTGGCCAAGAAGTAGGTCTTGCCGATAGAGACCTGGTGACCATCGGCCGTCAGGGCCTTGTGCAGGCGACGGAAGACCCTAACCACAGCAGCCGCCGCCCTCTCAGCCTGCCTGTTCTCGGTATCAATCGAGATATCGTCGATCCAGGTCCCGACATAGTCAATGTCGGGACCTACGCAGGTTTGACGAATGGAGTCCCCGACGGCCAACTTGCTGAGGGTGGGGGCAAGGGGACACCCAGCTATGATGCCCTTACGGGCACAGGCCGTCGGAGAGGCGACCTCATCCGAGACAATGATGCGGCCACCCCGGTAGGCTTCCAAGGCCAGGTGCAGGAGCAAGTCCGGGAAGCCTGCCCGGACGCTGACTCACACAGCCGCAGGTGGTCCACTCCTTCATAGAACGTGGACAGATCCACGAAAAGAGAGCACCTGTGGACACGGTCGGCGTGAGCCGCCTCGTAAGAGAAACCACGCCTTAGCGCGGCGTCGTGAGTGGAACGGGACGGCAGGGCACAGTCCCACCACAACTCGTCTCGGTAATCGAGCAGCCACTGCTCGATGAGACCCCATCTGGCCTTCATGCCAAGTTTGAGCAGCGTGGACATGAGGCCGATTGGCCTTTCGATGGCCTCGTTTTTCGCCAACATCACGAAGGCAGTAAAGGTCATCTGACTCGGCAATTCTATCGAGACCTCTATCTCCCGCCAGAGGGAGGCCAGGGAGGACACCTCGCCCGAGTCAAGAGCTTTAAGAAGCTCGACTAGCCCTGCAGCCTTGGAGGGCATGCTCCGAATGATCCTTTCAAAAGTTCGGCCACTGATGGCGGGGAGGGTCGCGGCTTGACGGGTGGCCCTTTCCCGCAGGCCAGGGATGGCCGAAGGGGGGTTACTCTGGGCGTCCCACAATCGGGACCATTGACGGAGTCGCAAAAACGGCCGGGCATCGGCGGGCTCGCTTAGGAAGGGTCGAACAACAACCGCTTCCTGCTTCGGAACGGCCCTGAAGAGCGGTTTAAGGCCCTTAACGGAGGCCCCACTCAACCACAGCTGATAGTCGTGGGTCTCCTGAGCTCTAGCCTCCGCGACCGCCTCCTGGCACATGAGCTTGACCACGGCCCTTGCCGGAGCCTTTGCAGGATTGCCCCATTGGGGTTTGCACACAAAGTCGGCCGGGGAGGGGGTCACGATGCCCTCCCTCTCCAGCGCCTGACGAAGGCTCCAACTCGTGGGAGGGGAAGTTCCAGTCTCCCGCAAGGATCCAATTGGCACACTGTTTGAGGAAGGGGAGGAGTCGGGCGAGGACCTCTGGGTTCGGGCCACCTGTGATGCCAACTCCCGGCCGCAAATAGAGGTTGACGACGAGGAGGGAGTACCTGACCCGGGGTAGCTCAACCAAAACAAAACCTGCACCAGGAAACCTCCTCTGTGTCTTCCTTGCATATGCACAGGGACCAAAGTGCCCACGCCTCTTTTGGTAGGTCTGGGGCCTTCCACGGGAAGGAGGAAGAGGTGGTACCCCTTCGCGAGGGCCTCAATACGGAGCTTACGTGTACCCTCGTCCCCCAGGTGAAGCTCCTGAATGAGGAGGGGCCCTTGGTTGGGCTGGTGCCACCTAAGAATCTCAGGGGACCAAGCAGTGATGTTAGCACTGACAAAGCTAATTTCCTCTGTGGGGCTTGCGCTTTTAGGCTGGGCCGCCACATCGTCGAGGAAGGCAGCTGCCAGCGCGGTGTCCAGCCAGGAGCCACCTTGAGTAGCCTCAAGAACTTCAGAGGCGACACGGTAGGGGAGGCTAGCCTCGTCGTACCCTTCAACAGCCTCAGCAAAAGCAAGGGAGAGTGGCTCGCACGGGTGCCACTCGCCGTGCTCCCTGAGAGCTCGAGCGAGCTCGCTAGCACGCCCTGCCACCGGGTTT